CATGTCTGTACTCTTCAGAGAAAACTACTCTCAGTATTTCAGTTTCTGCACTTCTGAGTATGTTCAGTAGACCCTGACTGAGTGCCCACTTTGTGGCAGACTTGTCCCAGGCACCAAGTACTGTGCTAAGCAAACAGTACCCTGCCATCATAGAACTTAACATGCTAATAAATGATATATACAGAGGGGTTGTTAAAAAAATGAGGCAGGATTGTGCTTATTCCTTTATAATCTGATTTTTCAACTTAGCAATACACCACTAATATTTTTTTCAAGTGAACAAAAATTGTATGATGTCATTTTCATAGCTACACAATGGTATGGCTATATTAAAATTCATTTAATAAATCCCCTAACTCAAACAACTAGACGTTTCAAAGTTATAACTTACATTTGTCTAAACATCTCATGACAATTTTTTAAAAATATATATTTCATGATCTTGCTGGTAAAACAATTTTAGGAATCATGGCTAACATAACTGTTTTCCTTTCAATACCCTTCACTTCAGTGGTGGCATAAGCTTAAGGCTTAATTTTCTGTATTTTTGAGGAAAGATTCTATAGGTCATTTTCAAAGTCACAGAAAAGGATGACACATTCATGTATTTATACCCAAGAATATTTTCTACTATAAAGGTACACCAAGGCCTTGGATGTAGATACCGTACCAGAAGATTCTTCACCCATTTCTTTGAGGAAATTACCCTGCTCTCTTTATTGCATCAGAGCTTAAATCTCTGAAATGGGTGAAATGATTTTTGCAACTATAAAGCATTCGCCTAAGCCCGGGGCTAGTGCCTTATGAAGGTGTTTTGGTTGAAAACTCCAGGCGCAGGACAGAGGGAGATTTACTATCTGGCCCATGTGTGGTCAAGAAGCCGCTGAGGAAGTAAAGCTGAAAACGCAGTCTGGGTGGGAGTGGGAGCTCTCCACATTTCCGGACAAACCTTTGATCCTACAGAACTTTGAGCTTAGCAATTTTGCAGGGGAGGAGAAAGTCATTCTCAAAAATGATACAGGAAATCTTCAACGTACATATTTCCCAAGGTTCAATAGCAAATCTATTATTTACAATGTAAAAAAAAAAAAAAAAAAAACAGGCCTGGTGCACTGGGAAGACCCAGAGGGATCGGGTGGAGAGGGAGGTGGGAGGGGGGACTGGGATGGGNGTGCACTGGGAAGACCCAGAGGGATCGGGTGGAGAGGGAGGTGGGAGGGGGGACGGGGATGGGGAATACATGTAAATCCATGGCTAATTCATTTCAATGTATGACAAAAACCACTGCGATGTTGTAAAGTAATTAGCCTCCAACTAATAAAAATAAATGAAAAAAAAAAAAAACAACACTCAGAGAAACAATTCAGCAACACACTTGAACAACAGCTCTTTACTGAGCCCCTATTACGTGCAAAGCACTGTTATAATACACTTAAGATGATGATCACAATCTCAGTCTGGTTCACAAAGACTTATTTCACTCTCCAATGAAGTTGAAAGCCTATATTTGCAAAGAAAAAAGTATATAACAACATATTGTTATAATAGTCTTTGATACCTTTTTTGATCATCTACTGTTTTAAGGGAATTGTGCAAGGTATTGGGGAGGGGGTGCTTTACAAACATGATTCAGACAAAACCTGTCATTAAAGGGTTGACAGACTACAGTCCTGTTACTACAGATGTTCTTCTGAGCCCTCCAAATGGCCCGAGACTGTAACCTGAGAGTCACACTCTCAAGGGTCGTGGACAACACACCAAATTTGAAAAATTTAATATAAAATAAAGGATATAAGATCTCTCATTATACATTGAAATGGTAATATTTTGGATATGTTGCTTAAAATAAAATGTACTATTAAAATTAACGTGTTTCTTCTACTTCTTTAATTTAAAATTAAACTGTGTGATACTTGTATCGGCAGTGCTGATCTCCATATTATAATTACTACCTACTCAGTGCTTATAACATATGTCAGTTAACTTTATACCAAATACATGTGACCTTCCACAAAGGAGGTATTACAGATAGGAAACTGAAGGTTCAAAGGCTACAATAATTCATTTTATTCATTTTTTAAAAGATTTTTTTACATGGACAATTATTAAAGTCTTTATTGAATTTGTTACAATATTGTCTCTGCTTTATGTGACATCTTAGCTCCCTGGCCAGGGATTAAACTCATACCCCTGCACTGGAAAGTGAAGTCCCCACCACTGGACTGCCAGGGAAGTTCCTATATTATTTCATTATTCTATACATACCTGGCATATTTTCTGTGCACCAAGGGCCATTGGAGGCAGTGGAGATATAGCAAAACAAAGTCCCTACTCTCATAGAATTTATATTCTAGTGGGAGAGAAAGGTAATAAATAAGAATAAAAAATATGTCAGGCAGTGGGAGGAAAGATGAAACCTGTAAAAGATGGAGTGCCTAGAATTGGGGTGAGATCGGATTGGACTATTTTTCAGATGACAAGATCTAAGAAGTTGTCATCTGAGCAGAAACATGAAGTGAAAAAGGGAGTCCTGTGAATATCGACCTGGTCAGGAGTTTCTGGGCCGAGGCAAGAACAGGTAAATGACCAAGGGGTGGGTGGGCGTGTGTGTGTGTGTGTGTGTGAGTGCACACGCGTGCACAAGCATGCACTTGACAATGGAGCAAGCTGGAAGCCACGACAACTAGGAAATGGCTCTGCCTGCACTGTGACGCGTGGCTGTTGTGGGGCATGTTAGGAGGTTACTGCAGGAGGGCAAGAGAGATCTTACGAAGTCAGATCTTGTCTGACTCAGCCACTGGAGATTTGCTGTTCCTGCATTACAAAGTAAAATAATCTAAAAATTATCCAGAGAATTTAAACAGCAAAGGTCAAATATCTGGACAATTTAAGCCTCAAAGCATATTTAAGAGTCTGTAAAGTTATCTTTTGGCAGTCAAAAATTACTATCAAACTTCATAGAATAGCAATTTATCTCTGTCCTTTGCTTTCTGCCAATTTAACCTAAGGGAAGTGGACTTGAGATCTGTAATTGGCAGAGTGGGATTGCAGGATCTTTAAGTCAGATTCAGATCAAGCAAATTAGTTTCATTTTTGCCAAAGAAAAGTGTTTTATTGAGCCAGATGACAATTTTGAAGCCTAAACTATTTGTACTGGCTCTGTCTACCTTCTGAACTACTCTCATAATTGCTAATTCTGAGTTTAAGGATAACAGCACACACAAGACAGAGTTAAGGAAAGAACTAGGAGCTGTATCTTGGATAAATGTATAAATTAGTCTGAATAACTCCACTAAGTTTGCTTTTATGGACAGAAGAAGTTCAAATAAAAGAAAGCATCCTCAAGGTTAAATGTTAGGTAGGCCAAGTCCTTCCTCTTCTGAGAGGCAGATGAAGGTTTAAAATAGGTACCCAGTTTCAAATGAAAACAAATAAAAAATCAATCACAAGGAACCCCAAAAGTCATGTCATAATAAAAAGGAGGCTCAATCCTGACCCTCCAGGTTGGTTTATTTACTTTGATGGAACTCATTGGAAAATCGTTCAGCTACATGCTTCACTGTGCCTGTGTAGATGTGTTTTCTGGGTACTGGATATAGTTCCTGTCAGTCAGGCACTTTCCTGGAGCACTAAAATGTACAGATTACACACATCAAAGGCAGGCTGCAACCACTGTAGTTGAAATTTACACAAATCTGTGCTACGAGTAACTGGATAAACAATGAGACTAATGACCTTGTTCTGCATTAATCTCCATATGGCTCTGTTGGTACTGCTCTTGCCTTTAGGCAAGAAGGTTGTGGCTTTGGCTTCTAGCCTCAAACCAGGGATTAGGCGCTGGCCCAGTGCTGACAGAGCCCAGAGCCCTGCTCCTACAGCCCAGGGAGCCTGCGCAGACTACAGAGGCTGTCCATCTTAAGAGGTACATTTACCATGATTCAAGAAACACCCCTATTACCATATTCACTGAGAAAACAGATTTACAAAAATAGGAAAAATCCTTTAATCATGCCCACCCCGCCTCCCACCACCTTCAGAGAAATTACTTTCTTCCAGAGGGCCCCAGGTTTTCCCTGAGTATTCTCAGGGCCTCTCTACTGATACCCCCAAAATAAGAAAGAACCCTCAGCGCCTTGGCCCCATGTTCCTCTTTCAGCCAAGAATAAATTTTTAAAATGGCTGCATCCATAAAGAAGAGTGAAAGGAAGGACTGAAGTTCACTTGCTCAGTACTTCTGTCTCACCTGGGACTTTGGAGAAAGGATATGTTATAATTTGAAGGTTTCCCCATCTAAGTGCTCCCCCACCCCCACACTGCTGTAGAGTCTCTTCAATACTATTTGTGAAATTTGCATGTTGCTGCTAGAAGAGACAGTCAGAAGAGTTGGAACATCTCAGAAGGGTGCTATACCTGAGCAGCCTTGGGCCACAGTAAAAGGAGACCAGAACACTGGAAAATACCCCTCACTCCTGCTTTCATCACTTTGTATACAGGTCACAGTGAAAAATTTATACTGGGAGGCAGAGCCCAGGAAATGACTCCATCGGTGGGGTTACCCTGGGTTAGGATCACGCACGAACCACACTCAGCTAAATGCCCGAAGTGCTACACATGTGGCACTCCTGTCACTTCACACCCAGCCCCAGCCATAAACTTTATTGCCTTGTAAACTTGAGATGCCTCAATCTAAGACATGCAATCACATTTAATTCTGAAACAATTTCTGCTGTCCCAAGAACACCTCTTATACACCCTTCTAGTCACTCTCCTTGTATCCTTACTTCTGTTGTTTTGAGTATATTATCCATATACACATTGCTCCTTTCATAAGTGAGTGAAGTCGCCCAGTCGTGTCTGACTCTTTGCGACTCCATGCACTGTGGCCTGCCAAGCTCCTCCGTCCATGGGATTTTCCAGGCAAGGATACTGGAGTGGGTTGCCATTTCCTTCTCCAGGGGATTTTCCCGACCCAGGGATTGAACTCGTCTCCCGCACTGCAGGCAGACTCTTTACTATCTGAGCTACCAGGGAAACTCCTTTCATAGGCCATCACATTACCAGAGCTGTTTACAGAGTCATTGTTGGCTGTGTCAAATGCCTCACAAAAAAATCATCTAGGGAATTCCCTGGTGGTCCAGAGGTTAGGACTCCTCACTTACATTGGAGAGGGCACAGATCACTGGCTGGGGAAACCAGCATGCCGTAGGTGCAGCCAAAACAGAAAAAAGTCTATACCAGTGCCATTTTTCTTCATCCATTTATCAGTTCATTAAGAGTCCATCATAAACATTAGGAAGAGTTAAAGCACATTCCCTCTCTTCCTGGAATGTTTGTTCTCCCACTATACTCACTCCTGGGATGACAAACCCTAAAGTGATTCTGATGCCTTTACAACACAACTGTTGCAGATGTGGCAAGGGTCACAGCAAGAGATGTCTAAGTGTGAAACCATCCCCATTTGGTCCTGTGGTAAAGATTGCTCGTGCTTTAAAAGCTTTTTGTTTGAAACTTAGAGGATGGCTTAAAAGTCATCTTTGCCTCATACCTGACATTTGCATGTACTTCACATGCATTGACTTACTGAATCATTACAACAATCATGTCACATTGGCTATTATTACACCTATTTTGCAGAAAGGAAATTGAGCCTGGACGAGGTTAAATGGCTTGCCTGAGGTCAGCACGGCATGAGGGGAAGTGGTGGTACCCACTTCCAACCCAGGATTTCCGACACTTCACAGTACACCATTGCAAAGCTGTCTCTTTATGTTGGTTTGTTCTGAAAAAACAAAAAAAAAAAAAAACCAAAAAAAACCCAGAATATTGCTCAAGAAGTCCATTCAATAAGAGACATTAGAGGGTTTTTCTTTGTTGCTGTGTTTACTATAAAGACAGAAACTTTCTGGCCAGTCAGTGTGTCAGAAAAGATTTCCAAAGTCCATCAATAAAAGGACATCAGATCATAGACACCAGTTTTGATAGTGAGTGCTTTGGTAAAATAAGTCTTAACACTGGTTTTCCAGACTTCTCTGGAAGGAAACTACACAGTACACTGTACGGTGTGAAGAAAAAGCAGCCCTGCACAAGGAACGTGTGCACACGTGTGTGTCAACGTTCTCTCCCCAAACGTGGCTGCAGAAGAAAGTGCTAAGCATACTGAAATAAGATAATATTTATGGCTGAAGAAATTCGACTTCACATAATGGCAATTATGAACAAGGTATTCTCCCTAATAAAATTACTGCAAAACAAAATCTGGAGAAAGTAAGTGTTTCCCTATGCCTTCTTTATTTCACTCCATGTGCTCAAAAATGGTTGCGGCAAAGAAAGAGTATAGCAAGCGGAGGCACAAGAGTCCTAGCCAGACGGCCTCTGCTGAGGGTTGCTTTTGCTTTAGAAACTGGAATGTGTCCAGGCTTGATTTTTATTTTCAATTCACATTTCAGATCCAGCTCCCCAAACTCTTTGATCTTTCTCCCTGTCTCCTTACCCGGAAGAGAACCCTTGGCCTTCTCAGCTGGGAGCTGGGAGCACACGTGGAATGACTGGCTCAGATCCATATTCTTTCCAAATTTAGTCACACAAAGGGGCCTGCAAGGGAAAAAAGAAAGGATGAAAGCGGCAGCCGCCACGACTTCAAAGGCCGCGCCGCCGCGCCGGGCCCCGCGCAGGCGCCGCCCTCCGCGGATATAAGGCGCGGCTCGCGCGCGCGGGCGGTCTTTCTGCGCGGCGGTTCCGCGCGCGTCCCGGGCCAGAGGGCGGGTGGACGGGGGACCCGGCGGCTGAGGGAGGGGCCGAAGGGCGGGCCGAGACAGGTCCGCACAGCAAGTGAAAGGCGCCTGAGCAAAGTTTTCAGAAAGGAGGGAAAAGACTTTCACGTCCAGCCCAGGAGGCGAGCCGTCCCGGCGGCCCAGTTGTATTCCAGCTCTCACACCCGTCCCATCCCTTCCTGGGGATCCCCTTCCAGACTTTCACGCGGACTCCTTTGCGCCGGAGGCCGGGTCCCCGTGGCGCGTTGTCGGGGGTTCCGGTCGCGAAGCCGAGCTGCGAGGGCGCGTGGCAGGCCTCTCTCCGGCCTCTGCCGCTTCTCTGAGCCTATCGCGGGCTCCCCTTGTCCTAGTCCGCGAACACCCCGACTTGCCTCTTCTCGCTGCGCGTGGGCAGAGGGTCTGCCGGCCGAGCCCACAGGTCGTGGGGTGGGATGCGGCCCTCCCTCGCGGGCAGCGGGAGGACCCGGCCCGCACTCGCGCGGGGAGACGCCGCCGGAGGACTCCAGGGGCGCGCGGGCGCCTGGAGCCGACCCCGCGGGGCTACGTTAGGCTGCGGGCGCCAACGGGCGCCGGCCCCGCGGGAGCCGGGCGTCAGCAGGCGGCCGGATTTGGGAAGGACGTTTTCACGGTCCCCTGAGTTCTCGGTTACCCCGGAGGCTGGGGGGCTGAGTTTGTTTGTCTTAGGAGGAGGCGAGAAGAGGCGGAAGAACCCCTGGGACACAAACTGCCATTCTCCGCCGCACCCCCCCCCCCCCCCCCCCCCCCCGCCCCAGCTTTCCGACAAGTCCGTTAAACTGAAGATGCCCACAGCTTTAGTCCCCTGGTGACGCCGGGTGGGAAATGGAGGGCTGCTGGAGTTCCGTCCCTGGAATCACATTATTCGTTTTTCTAGTCCTTCACCCTCGCGTCTCTCTTCCAGCATCCTCTTCCGTACCCCCTCCTCCGGCCACCTCCTTCCTCTGAGATCCCACCAAAGTTGTCGCTGGGAGAGAGTCCAGGCCACACAAAGGGGGAGACCCGGAGCCCGGGCGGGGGCTTAGGACTGAGGAGGCGGGGAGGGCTCTGAAGGGCACCGCGCTTTCCCCTCTTGCCTGTAATTAAGTACTCATTGGCGTGTCTGCAGCTGACTTGACTTGGAAGCGACCCCTTCCCCCCACAGGTAGGAGGGGTCTCTGGGGTGGGTGGGGGTCAGTCTAGCCCCCTTGTCCGCACCCGCGGGGGGCTGGTCTATATGTACCCTGCCGACTTCGAGAACCGTCCTCGCAGCCCCCCTCTCTCCCTGTTCCGGCGCAGGGTGGTCGCCTCGCCCCCCACGCGCAGCGCGGGCGTCGGCGCCCGGCGCAGAAGGAAGTGTTGCTATAAAACAAGTCACAGTTCGCTCCCAAAGTAAACCCCAACCAACCAAAGCCACCAAAAGGGGGAAAACCAACAGCAATCCAGTCCTGAGCAATTGTTTCACAGTCGGAATTAAAAATCACATCAAAACGCCCCCTGAAACCCACATCCTGAAGGAGTGAACCTGCAGCAGCTAACCTCCAGTCGTTCGCTCGAGTTCACACGAACAACCTGCCTCTACATCCGAGAGAAGGGGGCGGCGGTGTCTCTCGCTCGCGACACCCACCAGGTCCCGGACCTTGCGCCCCAAAAGGCGGCTGTGTATGTTACTAGCAGCCCCCACACGAATTAGAAGGGACCTCTCCGCGACACAAATACCTTTGCCAGGAACTTCACTGAACCTGTAAAGGAGGGAGGAACGTCTTCCGCGGGGTTGCCTCGCCCGACTAGTGTCTCCCAGCTTTCCTCCCTGAAGAGACAGACTTCGCGTGGAAATGTCAATCTCCTTCCCAGACAAAGCTTTTTAAAAGAAAAAAAAAAAAATGAATGCTTTCTAGAAAAGCCCCTTTTAAATGCACCTCATCAGAAGACTTGCAGCAATGCTAAGGACAATCAGCGAACGAAACACCCCGCGCGCCACGGGGAGGGAAAACAGTCACGCAAATAGAGTAAGACGCTGGGTGATTTCGTTAAAACAGTGTTTCCAAAGGTGAGGTTTGCCGCAAAATACACAACGCAGCCACCTACCCTCGGCCCTTCTAGTAAACGGTTCCCACTAGTTATTGTTCCAAAAATTCCCATCTTCTCGAGCTCTTAATCTCCAGGACACCTGGAGCTCAGCTCCAAATGACTCAGGGAGTCCAGATAATTAACATGAAGGAGTAAATGGGATTCGAATTAGTTGCGACACTGTAACGGGGGGGGGGGGGGGNGGGGGGGGGGGGGGGGGGGGGCAGATGTAGGAGTCGTCATTTAATCTCTTTGGCTTCCAGAAAATCCCCCTACCCCCACCCCTTGACAGTCTGATGAAAAGGAATCTCTACTCTGGCTGTTTTGGTGAAACTGCATTTTCCAGTTCTTTTCCTGTCCGTCGAATTGGCGCATTTATGGGAGGGCATTTTACTTTGTTTTCCCATATTTCTTTTAGAACAGAGGGTATGTGTGCTCAGTTGCTAAGTCGTGTCTGACTCTGAGACCCCATTGACTAGCCCTCCAGGCTCCTCTGTCCATGGCATTTCCCAGGCAAGGATACTGGAGTGGGTTGCCATTTCCTTCTCCAGAACAGAGGGAATAAATGTCTGACATAGCTACATGTTCACATCTCTGAGACATTACACTCACTGGTGGCTAGCGAAGTTGCATAATGCTACCAACCAAAAAGTAAAATTGGGTTTCCCACCATCTTTTTAGTATTGCCTTACACATTGTAGAAAATTACTCTTTCTCTAAGGCATAGCATTCTCAACTATTTGCAGAGGATTTAATGCTTTACTCTCTCTGGCTCCCATTATCAGCCCTTTAATGTTACCCTAACCTGGGATAGAAATTTTCCGTGTGACTAGTGGCCATGCTCTATGAGACCAACTGAATGCTTTAAATGATAGTTTTAAAAATTGCCTCCTAGTGAATTCCCATTTCAAGTAATAATAAGCAATATATTGAGTGCTCATTTAGAGCATTGTTAACGTCTTTACTTATACGATGTCTAGCAGAATGCAATTTCTCCCTTACACAAAAGAAGAGGGATCTTTACATGACTATTCCTATATAATAGAGCTAAAGTCTGACCCTGTAATGTTTTCCCCATTTTCAATTTAAGGGAGATGGAGACACATTTCTTCCTGTCTCTTGTTTACTGTTCTGAGGTATTACAGATGGCTACTGTATTGGGTATAATAATTTTGCCTGGATTTTTAACTGAGCGAGTTTGAGAGCCAAGGAACAAAATGTGATGTTTTCAAACTCCAGCTTCGTTTATACTGTAACTTTCACAAAGCATCTCCTTAAAAGTCCTGTCCTTGTACAAAATGCATCAAAGAGACGGTGGAGGCTGGGAAATTTTTGAGGTTGAATTTGGATTTGCATCTTCAAGGGTCTCTTTGAGCCCGAAGTCTGAGGTGCCAGAGACTGCCCTGTCCTCCCTCCTTCTACCGGCTTCACTCTCCTGGGTCCTTTTGCCTTTTCCTCCCCCCACCCCACTTGGGTGGGTTTTTTTTTTTTTTTTTCCGTTCTTTATGAGGTTCCCACACATTGTGGCATGTACCTTCGAAAATACACGAGCGACCTAGTTGTAACTGCGTGTGAGCATCCTATGGTGAGGATGTAATGGAAAAGATCTTGCTTTAAAAGCGATAATTAAGATTCAGTCTTCGGTTTTTTCTTCCTATTTTTCTAGTTAAGTGTGGAGGTTTTATTTTTGTTAGCATGTGTTCCCTTGTCCTTTTACATGTATTTAGGAAAGCCACAACTCTCTTTCTTGTTCTTCTTGCTTCCGTTCTCTTATTAGTTGAGCAATGTGTTATGTTTCCCCTTTTCCTTCTCTATGTCCCCGATTCCCGCCTCATCCCCCTGTCAGAGCATCTATCAACGTGGTGTCGATCACAGCTGCGGCGGCTTCTCTTTCATCTTCTTCCCACTGCCAGAGAGGGAGGGAGAGGGAGAGGCGGAAAAGAGGTGGGGGAAGAGACTGGCGGAGGAAGGAGGGGGGTGGGTGGGAAGGGAACAAGAGAAGAGACACTTAGATGATGAAGTTAAACCGTTGGGGCAGAGTTTCTTGTCAATTTCACGCGAGCAAAGCGTGCCTCTCGTGGGTTACAAGAAACGCCGGGTCCTTCCATCCCTAGCCAAGTTGCCTGAATCTTCCCCCTAGGCGCGCGCGCGCACACACACACACCCCAACACCCCCCCCCCCCCCCAACCTAGGACTCGTCCTACAGGCTCTGGGAAAAGAAAAAAAAGTCCTCAATCACCACCTCCTTCTCGCCGTCCCCCACCCCCCCAGCGGGCAGCCAAGGAGAGCTGGAGGCGGGGGAGGGGAAGGGGAGGAGAAGCGACGCAAGTGGGCAGCTTTTCAGCGCCGGCGAGGCGCGGGAGGAGGAGAGGCGGCGGGGAGGCGCAGCCGCTCACCTGCGGGGCAGGGCGCGGAGGAGGGACCAGGCTGCGCGCTCCGAGGCGGCGGAGGAGCTGGGGCGCATCCGCACACCCGCACGCGGCCAATCTCCGGGCGTCTCCCACCCCCGGCTGGGGGAACCGGAGGGGCACAGCTCTTTGACAAGCGGCCCGGCGGAGGCGTGGAGAGCGGCGAGCAAAAGAGCGAGCGAGCCAGACTGAAGAAACTCGAGCCGGGAACAAAGAGGAGTCGGGGTGTGTGTGTGTGAGTGTGTGTGTGCCGGCTCCAGCTCCCGGCAGAATCTTTTGGGTCCGAGGTCCCTGCTCTGACGCCCGGAGACCCAGTAGTACCCTCCACTACCGACTCCCTGCGCTCGCCGGCACAAACTTTATTCTTGGCAAACTTCTTCTCTTTCTCTTCCCCTCCTCCTCCGCCCCCCACCTTCTCCTCCGGCAGATTGAATGCGCCTGGAGAAGGAAAAGCGAAGCGAAAGGGAAGGAAATAAGAAGCTTTGAAACGGACATCTCCAACCCGGGTGGCTTTTTTTTTTTTTAAACCCTCCAGGAAGTGGACATTTCATTATCTTCTGATTCTCCTTACACCGTCTCTACTGGGGTAAACGGGGCCGTTTTGCCCAGTTCGCTCCTTTCCTCGGGAAACAAACTCCTGGATCGTCATCCAGGGAAGCTAAGGTGGAGAGATCTGCGAAGAGTCGTGCCGACAGACCCTCCCCTGCACTTTGGAGAGTCGAATCTCCTCCAGAACCGGCGTCCTCCGCGCGCAGACCCCGGAGACGCCGGGGGCGTGGGGCGGCCGCCCTGGCAGCCTAGCCAAGCGCGGGGCACAGACGCCCCCAGAGGCGCCGGCCGCCGCGGCCCTCGCCGCCCTGTGTTGTTCGGCCTCGGGGACGGGCGCCGGCATCGGTCTCCGCCGAGTGGGAAGGCGCGGGCGGCCACCGGGGCTCGGGTGCCGCTGCAGCAGCTCCGGCTGCCGGCCGCCAGCCCGGCGCACTCCAGCCTGGCTTCCGCCCTCTCTCCTCCCTGACGCATCCTTCCAGTTCTCCTTTTCCTCTCCCCCTTTTCGTCGATCCCTTCTCTTTCCTGCTGTTGCCTGGGGTGCTCCCCCCGCGGAGCGGAGATTACACAGTGGTCGGGATGCCCCAACTCTCCGGGGCAGGCGGCGGCGGTGGGGGGGACCCGGAACTCTGCGCCACGGACGAGATGATCCCCTTCAAGGACGAGGGCGATCCTCAGAAGGAGAAGATCTTCGCCGAGATCAGTCACCCTGAAGAGGAAGGAGACTTAGCCGACATCAAGTCTTCCTTGGTCAACGAATCCGAAATCATCCCGGCGAGCAACGGACACGAGGTGAGCTGGCCGCTGCCCCATCCCTGAGAGGCGTGCCGGGTCCCGGGGAAGAACCGAGGGAGGAAGGGAGGGAAGGTGCCGGGCAGCCCGGGCTCGCGGGTCCCGGGTGGGTCTGCTGGGAGCGGGATGGGGGGTGGCTGGGCTTCTGGTCGGCGTTCTTCCTGTGTGTGCGGTGGAGGGGTGTGCAGGGAAGCGTCCAAGTGTATATCAGTTTTGGCGTTCGGTGACTAAACCGTTGGTTTGCGGCCAGGAGAACCTGCCTTTAACCCATGACGTTTCGCCTTCGGCCTTTTTGGTGGGGTTCAGAGGGTGCGGTGCATTAAGGCGAGGATGTCTGAACAGCGCTCCTGAGAAGTTCTTCCGTAGGACGGAAAACAAAGTGCACCCGCTATCTCGGTAGATGTCTCTGCAAAAGTGCGTACACCACCAGAGCCTTAGGTACAGACGAGCAGAGCCGCAGGGAGAGAGGAAGGGGTGGCGGGCGTGGGCAGGGTACAGAGGTCCTCGCGGCCGCCGGGCCAGCTGCCGGAGCCGTGGGCGAGCCGAGCTGAGCCACCCCGGGAGGGCTCTCGCACTACCGGCCGCAATGCTGGTTTTCCCCATCCATCGCCACTTAAAGGGGGAAAAAAGCACGCTTATGTTTGGGCCCGAATCAGGCCTTAAATCTATACAGAAGAGCGACTCAGAGAGAGGCAGCGGAAGCCAGGGCACCCACTCAGGGGAGGGTGGAAAGCGCTTATCAGATCTCTTGGCCCGCTGCGGGCGATAGCGTTGGTAACCCGAGTAGAGTAAATAGAGACACGTGGGTGCTGGCGAGAGCGAGCCGCGAGCGGGACCTCGCGGAAGGGCTATTTCAGGCCTCGCGGAGAGCTTCAGAAGTGGGGGAGGCGGATGGACCCTGATACCCGACACTCCACTGGCCACCGTTGTTCAACAACTGGGAGACGCTTTGGAGGAAATCCGGTAGAAAAGTCCTGACACTCAATGGTTTCACCAACGCTTTTTCCCTCCAAAGAAATTTGGAGGGTATATTCTTTTTCCTTAAATGGCATCCTTCTGCCCCCAAAAAGAAAGCCTGTGGTTTTGGGGGCGGAGACATTTTGTGTTTTAAACAGCAAGTTTAAGAGCACTTCAGAATTACCTTCTTTATCCCAATGGCAGGGGTGAGTAACGCGTTTTGGAAGGCCCAGGGCCTGGGTCCTAAGGAAAACATTGGGGTGTTCTCTCTCCCCTGAATCTTTCATCTCAACATGCCAACTTAAGGGGGAAACTGGGGTTGCCCAGAGCATACCTAACTCCACTTAAAAGATTTGTGACTGTGTATTGGGCGGGGAGAGGAGGTCACTGGGAGGACACATGTCCAAGGAACCAAATAGCCTCCGAAACACTTGAGGCCAAACTCGTATTTGTAGAACAGCCTTTTCAAATTTCTACCCTTTTTCCTTGCCCTTCCTTTTTTCTATAAATAAATTTGCCACCCACTTCACATTTTCTACATGTTTTTGCCTTGGAGAGAAGGGCGCTGCGTTTGAAGCCCCAGAACTCCGGTATTAGGGCTCTGTTAATCTTTGCTGGTGGTAAGTGGGCTTGGGGCAGACCCAGGGAAGATGGTGAAGGGGTAATACCACCGATTTGCACGTGGTTGAGTCTGGGTGGATGGTGGTTACCAGAACTGATATTAGCTGGGCTACCTTTTAGATGTCTGTAGCTCGACTCTCAAGTTTTCCTCCCTTTAACCACAGAATAGTTCACTTTTCTCTTGTAAGCTCGCACTGACAGCCATGGTAGCTTAGGAGCAGTGGGGCTCCTGCTGTAATTGGTTTGGGACAATTGCCTAAGACCCCCACTTGTAAGTCATGGGCTTGTTTTTATTTAAAATGCCATTTTCAGTTGCAAAATGATATTTCAGCCTGCTTTTAATCAGCTCTGACTGAAGTAAACAGTGGTTGAAGAAGCTATCAAAATGATCAACCCCCGTAACTGAAATTCCTATCATATTAGGCATCCAAGTAGTCTTGATGTATTTTAGTAAACAGTGATCAGAACAGCACGTGGATTGTTGACAAGTTCGTTTCAGTTGTTACTGTCATCTGTAGTTTCTAGTACCATAGAGGTAGTTTTCAGGAACACATTGAAAAGATTTCCCAGGACTCAGTCCTAGCCTGTCCTCTTAGATTAATAAAACAGGTAGATTGAGTTGCACCTAATGCCCCTCTTTTGAGTTACCAGTGGATACGCACTTATATCATTATTGTCACAAACTCTAAAGCAGTTTTCTTTCTTTTGGGGGTGGGGATTTGTGCTGGTAGGTGGCCAGACAAGGACAAACCTCTCAGGAGTCCTACCATGACAAGGCCAGAGAACATCCTGATGATGGTAAGATGCTATTCTGCTTCTCCCAACTTTATCATTTAACATGTACAGTTTGTGAATACTGGTACATTTTGCTATTTTTATTTGCATCCAAGAAACTCGAAGCATATGTAATAAGATTGTGCCCGTTGTTTGAGCAAAATGGTAAAGAAAACCCAGAAAACTTATTGCTTACCTGTAATACATATTTCCATAATTATAAAACTGAATGAGTTAAGGGCCTTTGAATTTCCTTTGGCTTCCAGATTCTTTATAGAAGAGAAGTGTCTATAATGAGTTTTTCTCTTTTCCTCATTTTACCTAATATTCTAATTGTCATCTTTAGTATTTTTTCATGCATTTTTACAAAGAGTGACAGTCTACACAGATTTATTTTCCAACAAGATTAGTTTCAGGTGGGACTCGTTTGTTTGCTGTTTCTTGTTTTAGTGAGAAGGCAGGCACTATATGTGCAGACTAAATATAGCTCGATAAAGAAGAATCTAATGTGTAAAAATATAACACTTTAATCTTAAAATTAATAATTATGTATTTGAAACGTGATAGATTTTCTCCCCATTTCTGATTCTTGCTCAAAACTGTAAAAATTCTGCATTTTTTTTTTTTTTTTTTTGGGACTTAAGGAGAACTCCTTGTGACTTTAAAAGAATCTGTGATTTGTAGGGTTCCCTTGTTGAACAGCCTGCATTTCTGTGCTCCTTTAATTACTTACAATTGGCCTGACCAGAATGAAGGGTTCGCACATACATGTTAGCCAGGGGAAGAAGGGAAGAGAACTATAATATCAAGCTTCCTTCTGAGCTACAAAGTAGATACACAGATAAAAGGGGAGAAATGTATACACTGAACACACACATGCAAACACACTTTTCTTTGGCAGTGTGATATATATGTAGCAAATAAAGTCTCCTGGAATTAATCCTTCATAAATTTGGGTAGTTGCCCATATACTAGATACAACTTGCTCCGTCAGTAAAATCTAGAAAATTTCCAGAAATCCAGAAGTACAGGTAGAATTTTTGAGTTTGCCTACAAAGAGGAGCATAACTTTTAAGTGTATAAATATACATGTGTGTGTATAGCTGAATAGCCTAATGTATTTATATTATAGCTTTGTATGCCTTTTTTCATGTGTCTATTTCTTAGTCCAGTTTGTTAGTATTAGAGCAAATTAAGTTAGATGGATAACACTTATTTTTGTAAAAACACCAGTCAGCAGTGGAAGTAAATTGAACCACATGTTTTTAAAACATCTGGTTCACTGCTAAGCCATTTAAGAGAGTAAATACTGTCAATCTAAAATAGAGCATAATAAACCAGTTATAATATTTTGTAAACAAATTTTTTATGTAAGGCCTAATTTATAATAGAACTATTAACTTTTCAATGAAAAATACAGTGATATAAAAGGAAGTCAAAGCATCACTGATTGTTCTTTGCCTTCTCTTAGGAAAGCATCCAGATGGAGGTCTCTACAATAAGGGACCCTCTTACTCGAGTTATTCTGGATACATAATGATGCCAAATATGAATAATGACCCATATATGTCAAATGGATCTCTTTCTCCACCCATCCCGAGAACAGTGAGTAACATGCTGATGTTGCAAATTATTTTTAGAAGTGCAAATTAATTTGTATTTTTGGCAAAATGTTTTTTTAAACTCACCGGAAATGCTTCCATTATATATGACCAGTTGTTGCTAAATAAGACATGCTATAAGGAATGGCTTCCTTAAAATGGTGCTACTTTTTGATGTTTTGACCTTCGAATATTAGCTTTTGGTTTATTGGTTAAGATGAATAAAAAAACAGATCATGAGCTATCATGATATCAAGTGAATTTAAATCAACAAACCCATGATTTTGTGAGTATTATGCTTTCTACTCTGATGAGAGAGAGAAATTGATTTAATCTTTCAATTAACTAAGTGGTCTATGGCTTTCACTGCCGGTAAGCTATGTAGAATCAGAATTCCTTTGGCTCACTTGGAGCTGAACATTGGGAATGTTACTTCAGCTTTTAAAACAGTGTCTCATTTTATTGTGTTAGCTAATGTTTCTTTAAAATCCGTTTAGGTGTAGGGGAGCAATGAGCTATTTTTACTTTATTGTCTATTGCTAAGAAGTATCTCTTGAAAATAACTCTTAATGAAATTTTTTTTTTTAATGTGGTGGCTCAGTTAACTTTTCAGTTCTAAAAATGGGGAGGCATTATGACTGCCTTACATATTATGCTTAACATGTAAACCTCAATTTGTATAGTAAGAAAACATCTAAAGGGTAACTTGTGTGGTATGTGGATGTGAAATGGAGTTCTCCCTGAGGTTCATCTCTTTGGAGGTGGTGGTGGATTGTTACTGATCCATCAATATATTTACCTTCTTTCTGGCCTCACTCTCCCTGTACCATCCAAACCCCAATGAAAACCATGTATGTTTGGGTCTTGGGGATGATGTTTCAGTCTAACTGGCCCTCCTGTGAGTCAAATCTAGGATCATAAAATGGAACCTGTATCTTTGCCTTGTTAGCCCAGTGCTTTCACCAAGTGAAAAGAAAAATCAGTGGAAGACATCTGGGGCAAGTACTGTTGCTGATATCTCAGTGGACAGAATCTGGGAACCATGAGATATACCAAAGTAGAAAAGAGAAATATTTCCTAATCAGTCATGAACAAATAAAAAGAGTATTTGTGGTTATCTTGATTATCTGTGGCCCTCAGCTGTTCAAGAGATAGATCTAGGAAATATACCCACTTTTGGGGGGGGGGCACTGTGATTTAAAAGTTATTTTTTTTCCCACGAATTTCAAAAAGATATTTGACCTCTTAAGTAGGGAATAAGATTTTTCCAATTTTCACATAGAAGCTAAAATGGAGATCTAGGAAATCTTATGATGGTTGTTATAGAAAATAGTGATTTCACATTTTATTTTAAAAGGCTTTTCAAATATTTAATGATAGAAATGTGTGTGTGGTACATATGACTCTCTTACCTAAAAAGTGAATGAACTAATAAAAGCAAATACAGTTTTTAACATTTAGAGACCACCCAAATAAATGCTTCTGAGTTTTAAAGTTTGATGGAGACTTTGTTTCTGTTGAATTAAATATGCTTACATATCAGATAATTTAAAGTTGGGCTATTTTTTTTCTTGATGTTTTGAAGGGGTGGGGGAAGGAGACTATATTTTAGATAAGAAATAATTGAAGATTTCTGCTGAAGGCTTTTTAGAATAACAAATAATCTTTCCCACAAATCAAACTATAGTCTCTGACTTGGTAACAATAGAAAAAAGCCACTAAAATAATCTTACACTTTTAGGCTGTGAACACAGTTAGTGCTTAATAAGTATTTGTGGAATTTATTCTTCAGTTCAGCCAGTTGTCCTTTCAAGGCAATAATTTTTTAAAAGTCAATATAATAAAAATCTATTGTTATTTATGTTATTCCCAAGAATATTGAAAATTAAGCTGCTCTTCCTCTTTAAACCAGCCTTTTCCCCTAGCCCCTTAGTATACTAATCATTTTAAATTGATAGAATGGAAAGTATTTATTGTTAGTGTATATATTAAAATTTTGAAGTCAGTGAATTGAACAGTCATTCATTGTTTAGGAAAGATTTGTGGCCAGGATAAATGTTGGGGGTAGAGTGGAGGAAAGGGGTGTGGTTAGGAAACAGTTACCTTACCCTCCTATCTGCTGCTTTGCTTTATTCTGTTCCATTTTAGAACACATTTATTTTAGGCACCCTTTCTTGCCAATATTCTGCAGTTCGCCCAGTTCCAGAAGCTTTGCAGTTTTAACCACAAGACTATGTTCAATTTTTCTCTTTTAGGGTCCAGCCGAAGTGGGTCGCAGTCTTGGGTTTTTAATTCGTAACAGCTGTTTTTAATGCTGAGTCCCAAAGCACTTTAACCGGAAGGCACCCCCTCCTCTTCACCCAAGCCACACTCTGCCTCTTGCTCTTTAGCTCTGTTCTTGGCAGGACTGAGTGTGTAGCGGACATCCACAGCGCTAGGTTTTGCATCTAGAGTGTCAGGAGCAGAGTGACCGTTTGTGTTTGGACTCAGGGTGGGAGCTGTCCCTTGTCAGCCCTGTTGCTTGGATTTGCATTACAAACAACCCCTTGTTTACTGTATCTGCTGCCCTCAGGTGTTAGGATTAGAAAAACATCTGGGGTTGAGGGAAAACCCAACTGCCCCTTCCTTCCCCACACAGAATCTTCTGTTTATTTGTAACCTTAGATAATCCAGAGAATACCAGCCATGGCCAACTGGCATGCACAGGAGTGTTTCTGCTGGTAGCTCATTTTAACAATTCTATATGCATTTGCTCTTTTTAAGACAAATGCTGACATGCATGTGCTCACACAGCCCTTACTCATGACCTAAATACAGAGTTACCTGCACAGGAGAACCACTTTTGCCATTCAAGCTTTTTTTTCCCCCCATCTGAAGGAAAATTTTAATTGGCTAATTACATCCTTCCAGAACTGGAATTCTTAGAGGTGTGTCTATACTAGAAGTCTTGTGAATGGGTGTCTCATAGAATTTTAAATAAGAATTCTTGTTCAGATAAATCGGGCGGGCCTAGCAAGAAAGCAACCTATAATGATAACATGTTTGGTGTCAGTGTGAGTTCTTAAAGCACAGTAAACCTTGGCTTGGGATGGTCATTTTCAAGGAGTGTGAGAAGATGCGGTAGCCTCTTAAATATTTCGAACAAGGGCCCTGGAGAGTTTATTAAAAGCATACTCCCAAGACCTCCTTTCTCTGCGTCTCATCTGTGAAAGCCCTGGGAGACCAATGGCGATGTATTCGAAGGGAAGACATATTTGGTTGCCTCCTTGCTGGGTCCGGACCCTGGTGGTGCCTGAAAAACAGTGAGCTTGGCTGCCTTTACATAGTGAAAGTTCCCACTGGCCTCAGGCACTGTGGTTATGCGTCTTAGGTGTCAAACTTCCATTTGTCCCTCAAGCAACCCAAGTGTTTAACACCTCTGAAGAGAAACGTCTCGGTTCTCTTCAGCTGCTCAGGGAAGGAGCAGCAGCAGACGTAGTGCAGGAAGCGACAGCAAACGTCGCTGCTCGGCTCCCACCAACCGCAGCGACACCTGGTCAGGACAGTGTTGCTGACTGCACCGTTGGCTCTGTGATCTTTCTCAGGATGGCTTTTCAGGTGGGAAGGGAAGATGTCTGTGTTTGAATTTTGTCATCTTTTCATATTTTTAGTAGATTTATTTTTCTTATTTTTGCTCTTAAAATGCTTCAGGGTTCTTTTATAATTATTTTGAGCAACTCACTTCTATAGTATGGTTTTTACCTGGAGGGGGCCAACATTTGACGTCTAATGAGCAGAATTATCCCTCTCAGAACTTTGTCTTAACCTGCCCCCACCAGCCTCCGCCCATGTTTGTGTTTGCTTACAGTTAAAATTAGATTTTTGTCATTGTTCACATCTGGAATTAAAGAACTAAGTGAACATGTCAGATCAGTAAGGTAACACCCATCCGTCCATCACACTACTGCATAGCTTTGAAAATAACACAGAAATAGTCGTCAATAGGAAGACAATGACTTATTAACTCAGTTCAGAGAGACTCTGGCTCATGTTTTCAGCAGAATTTTTCACATTGCTTAAGGAGCTACCTCATGTGACTTACTGATTAGTTATTTAAAATTTTCTACTATAAGTTGTCTACTTTTTGAAGCTAAGTATATGAAATTTTCCTCTTTACCTTAAGTGCAGGAGAAGTTAAGTTTTAGAAAGTGTATTCTCAGATTTGAATACGATCTCAAGAGAATATGTGGGAAAGCTCCCCAAAGCCCCAAACTCTTCTATGATTCATCTTAATTGTACTGCTACACTCAGAATAATTGGGAGTGATTACCATTCCCCCTTCAGATAATTTAGGTATCTTCTTAATGAATGGCATGCTAATTCAAGTGTCCCAGGTGCCATGCTGACGTGACCTTTCAGGAGCTGATATTACCTTGCATGACTGGTACGGCAGAAGTGTGATCCTTAGTCAGATAGGTTTTTTCGAAATGATCCTTGAAATTTCTTGTTCATTCATAAAGGCATGAGAACAACCCAGTTTCACTAAAACAAGACTATTAAGCCAACTTGCAGAAAATCTTGCTCTTTGAAGTTCCCCTCCCCCTGCCCACATGCAGGTCCTCAGCTTGGTCTCATCAATCCCATTATTTTGATCCATTTCTGTCTTGCAGAAAGACTCATGTAATTCTAACAGGACAGAGTAAGGACCTCATAAATGGCTCTATCTGGACTTCAACTTGTTAGCTCACGTGTATTCTTCATAATAACAACTGAGAAATTTTTTACAACTTTTGAGTCTTGTTTTTAACTAATCCTGTTCTTTAGGCAGAACTGTTTTTGGTGTATGTGACTGACATTTTTTTAGCAATGGGATCATTCCATTTCTCTCTGACTCCCCTTGTTCCTCACTTACATATTATAGATAGAATTTTATAAAACTGGTTTCCCTTTGATTTCAAGATAAACTTGAAATGTAAAGAGAAAATATGCCAGCACTGTCCTTGGGCCAGCAGATAAGCACATATG